AAAAAAAAATTAGAAAAAACCAGTGAACTAACACAGTACAGAAAAATGCAAGAAAAAAGTTTAATTATTGTTTGTGATAAATTATATTAGCATATTCTTAAATATATGTGCCAACAAAAAGTAATGTATCGCTCTTTGCAAGCACGAATAAGAAGGGATGATCTGCAGTAAATGTTTGTGGCATCAGAAGACTCATTGGCTCTATCATTATACCACTAGCTGCAGCTGCTTCTGTACCCATTTCGTTCACCTAGAAAGTGCAACTATTTAGACAGAAGCAAACAACATAGGCTTGTTATTTAACACTAAGAAGGCTTATTGCTTTAAATGAAGCCGTATCAGTTCATCAAAAAATCATTTGCTAACAAGAATTTTTGTAAACGTATTTGCACAGATAATTTCCAAAACTAAGTAACAAAAGACAGTTTTTTGTCTGAAAAAAAAGCACAATAACAACAAGTAATCAACCTCAATAAAAGCTTTTTGTACACCTCCAGAAATGTACTGAGGTGAACTGCTAATTCCTGAGAAGTCAGCATGCACATTTGAAAAAGCATCCAAAATTCCCATCGCTTTTAAAGGTTTAGATAGATCAAGCTTAAGTTCAGACTTAAATTTGGGTAACGATACCTGCAAGAATTCTTCGTCAAACAAAAGAAAAAAAGAAAATTTACGTACAGCAAAAATAATGATTGCAGAAAGGAGCATAAGAATTCCAGTTTGTCATCAACCGTCTTTCACTGACAACGAAAAAAAAGCTCAACTACAAATTAATACTCACCGTAACTTCAAACTCTTCAACTTTTTCCATCATTTCAAGCAGATTATGGCCAGTAAGACTTTTCAGTAAATTTTCTAAACCGAATCTTTCCTTTGGTAGAATTATAAACATATTTACATCAGTACTTTTGTACGGTAACTGTAAGATTTCGGCATTGTCATCGCCAAAGTAAGACGCTCGCATTACTCCATGCATCATATCAACCTAGAAAAGGCAGCAATAGTTCCTAAATTAGTTGATGTGTCATGAAAAAAAAGAAACATTTTCTATGCAAAAAAAATTTTCAAGTTATAATCACGAAACAGTAAATATACTGCAAAACCATAAACTGAACGTTACCTGACGATTTGAATTATGACTAGAATAAAATGTCTCCTGTTTCGTGTCGTTTATATCAAAATGCTTCATCCATTCACCATTAAAGTATACTGCATTTGCAATCAACATACTAGTATCTTGGATATCATCTGGTTTCACGAGTTCCTTGATTTTTGAATTTGTCGCACTCTCAACCCAAGTATTGATATCCTATAAGTTGTCGAAGTAATTTTTACAGTTCAATAGAAAATACGCTGACTATTGGTAGACAACAAGCGTTTCGAATAATTGAAGCGGCAAAATATGGCCATTAGCCACCATAAAATATTAAAAAATAAGTTGATAAACCTGTGCTACAGCCTGAAGATTACTGAAATTTGCTTTCTGCAGTTGCCCAGCAAAATTATCATTAACCTCAGACACGTACTTGTCAAGAACTGGAACATTATGATCCACGTAAAGACGATTAGCCACAATGAGCACATAATTTTCTGTGTTATTGACAATTGAGTTCAATTGCGAACTCAAATGCTTGTAGAGCTCTGCCTCATCAACACCTTTAACATAACATATTTACAGTTACTGCTCGGTATTCCTCATAAGCTAATATCCTCTACAGTTCTTATATCAACTAAATCACTTCCAATTTAAAGAGGAATAATATCTGGTGCAACTAAAAAAATTAGAACTAGAAACTTTTGAGATTTACTTTACATAAAAAATGCTTTCAAAAGTAGATGTATACATCTGCTTCATTATTCAACAGTTTTTTCCCATTTTTTTTGGTCAACTTGTTCTCTATCTAAAGCCATAATAAACTGTAAGTAGATTGTCAAAAAAATTGTTTTTATAAGCTACAAAATTAAATTTAACGAGAAAAAAGTGATTGAAAAAAGCAGTTGATTCATAGACTAGATTAAGGGTTTATTTGCTTATAATAAGAAATCAGTGAACTCGTTCAACCAACCACTTGCCAGTGCATTGTTGATTTGTGTTTTAGTGTTCCCTTTAGCACCCAGTGAAGCCATCGCCAATGCAACACTGATCGAGAATGGCGAATAAACCACAGGACCGTCCGAGTTAGCGATATTTTGCAGGAACTGCAATGCAAAATCCGCTTGCCCTTTAGCCACCGAAGATGACATTGCTCTGAAAAGTGTTCGGCTAGATTATAGGAAACCTAGTTGTAGTATCAACAGACGTCAACTGCCGTCGTGAGTTGACAGAGCTTAAACGTTTAGTTGCTGTTGTTGGGTTTAAGCAGTAAAAGTAAATTGTTTTTTTCCTTTCCTTTCTTATTTTTTCTTCTTTTTTAGTCATAGCGCAGCTAAGTGATCTGTTAAATCTGAAGATGGCAACAAGAAGTGCTAAGAAAAACAGTTGTGAAATGAAGTCAAGAAACCCTAAAATTTTATTTTGGTAGACCAATTTCTTCCTTATTCCTCATTTTCTTTAGCTAACCACTTCTTTTTCTAAACTATCGCCCTTTATACACGAGTAATGCTAAATTTGACAAAACATCAAAGTCAAGAGCTTGCACAACAGTTGGAGTAGTTCGTATATAACAGAACAACACTGAACATCAAAAAGAAACTAAAACTGGGGGAAAAGAAAAAAAAATCAACTAAGTGTTAAAATAGTGATTTAAAAAAACTTTTTTGGCAGAAAGAGACGTTGTTTGCAGCGCGTTGTTCGGTGTTGCTCGACTAAAGCCGTTTTACAACATACATTCCATTTCGCAGAACAATATAATAGGAAGTATTGTCGGTCTATTGTATTAATAAGCAAAAAGCTTGAAAGAGGAGAAGCTTATATTTATCGCGTTAA